CGCGCGAGGCGGCGGCGAGGCTGCGGGCCGCTCTGACTCTCCCTCCGCCCTCCCTGCCGGGCTCCTCGCCGCCGGCCTCGGGCTACCAGGCTTCCCGGGCGCCCCGGCTTCCCAAAGCCCCCTCCGCGCGGCCACCGCTTCCCGCGACTCTGGCGCAGCCCCGCAGCCGACAGCCCCCTCACTCCCGGGACTGAGCCGGGTCACCGGATGTTGCTGAAACTCCGGGGATCATGCGCCGTCTCGGCAGCTCCTTCCCCGCCCGGTGCCTCTCCCGCCGCCGCCGCCCCGGCTGCCGTGGCCCGCGGGGTGCTCAGTAGTCCGCTGCCCGGCCCCCGCCATCCCGTGTTCCTCGGAAGCCGTTCGCTGCGGCGGAGTTGCGCGAACTAGTCATGGTGCTGTGGGAGTCCCCGCGGCAGTGCAGCAGCTGGACCCTTGGCGAAGGCTTCTGCTGGCTGCTCCTGCTGCCGGTGATGCTGCTGCTCGTGGTCCGCCCGGTGAAGCTCGCCGCTTTCCCTACCTCCTTAAGTGACTGCCAAACACCCACCGGCTGGAACTGCTCCGGTAAGCCCAGGACCCCGGCCCCGACCTCTTCCCCGCTCCGCGTGACGCGTGTGCAGTGCCGATCAGCCTCCCCAGGAGCGGCTCCCCGGCCCAGCCGCGCCGAGCCCAGACCTCGGGGAACACCCCCTCCTGCCCCACCTGACCCGGCGAGCCGCGCGCTGCTCCAGCCGCCCTGGGGAAGAAGGGAGGGTGTGGTGGGAGCGAGTCTAGGGTGGGTAGAAAGTGCAGGTGTCAACCCCTTTGCAGCCTTACTCTTAAATCGGGGAGCCCTGATTTGGGGAAGGGAAAAAAAAATCTGCTAAACGGGATGATTTCCTGAGTTCGCTGACCAGAGAGAGCACCAGTCCTTCAGGAAACGTTGTAGCAGAGCCTTTCCCATCATTAAAGAAAGAAGTCTGACTAGACCGGGGAAAGCAATAACTTCACGAGAAAGGACAAGCTAGAAGGCAATAAATCAAATGATGCCTGCAGGGGGAAGGCTGATTCCTGGCAAAAGTGCTGGGAAGATGCGTTGGCCTCAGATTCAAGACCAAGTCAGTCAGAGTCTGAAAGGAGCTCGGATTTTGAGACATTCAGTCGCCCTGCTTCTCTCTCATCTTCTTTCTCTTTTTGCCCTATGATGTTGTTTTTGCAGCCCAGGGCTGGCTCACCGTGCCTTGCTATGCCTTTTAGGTGGTGGAGGGAAGTTGAGAAAAGGGCCCTTAACCCATCTTCAGGCCTGGGTGGGTATGACCTAGGCCAGGCACACTTACAGGCTAGTGGAAGGTGGAACGCATCCGGGTGGGTGCTGACTTCTCCATTTCTGAGCGGGATTCTTGGAGTGAGTTGGTCAGCCGCTCTCATCTTGCTCCCTTGGGTCCCTTCAGAGCCTGAACCAGAGAGCTTGGCAAGCTTCACTGTGCTGAAGCCCCCTAATTAAAAAGGAACCAAGGATGAGAGTTGCCGCACTCCCCCGAACTGGCTTCACATTTCACTATGACAGCATGTAGTGTACCTGGTGGGATTGTGGTGGGATTTTGAACTCTGTTATCATGGCTGGGTCTTGTCCCTCAGGTCTGGTCGGTTCTAGCCCTCTCAAGTGTATATGTAATTTTCTTCTCTGTAAATATAATTGTAGTAGTGAATTCCATACTTAGATGTGGAGTTAAGTCTTGCATTGAATAAAGTGGCGTTCAGAAATGTCTATGTGCTGAATTAAAAATATATATATAACGTAGGAGAGGAGGGGGTGACCAACTGTAGCTTATTGGATGAAACAAAGTGTATACTTACAGTTAATTACTGATGTAAATTTCAAGAGACAAAAAATTATGTATCATGGTAGTTTATCCTACGTAAGGACAAGGTGAAATTTACAATCCTATGTGATCTGGGTCAATAGATTGCCTTTGTTCTGTTGATAGCAACTTTTAAATTTGACATTTTTATAAAATTCATCATGCTTTGTTATTTTGACATATTTCTGATTCTAGAACTATTAAGTTCCACTTTGTTGATGGCTAATCACTTTTTAGGAGCTGTCTTGTGAGAACCCTAAACAACCTGCTAAATCAGTTGTGTGACATATTGAGGGGGCTGGAGTCCAACATGATGGGTTTTCTTTATCCCTAACTAGAGTATTGCTTGAAGAAAGTAAGTGCCGGAAATGTGAAACTGGAATTAGCAATCAAGAAATTCATCCGTTCCTCACTAGCCAGATATCTCAAGGGGATCTGTAGAAACAAAATAAGAATTTCCAGGCAGATTGTCAAGAAGCTAGCATCCCCCAACCCTTGTGAACGTAGAGGTGATCAATCTTCACTTGAGCCAGACAGACCATCACAGAAAACACTGTGCCTGTTTATCTTTCTTATTGGGGCTTTGTTTCCTCTTTGTCTGAAGAAATTTCAAATAAAGGTCACTTCAGATCTTAAAGTAAAATAATAATTAAAGATGAGGGAATGGCAAAAATGGCATTCAAAGGACATCATCAGATATTTTCCAAAATGTGGACTTTGGGTAAAAATCATAGCCCCGTAAGTGAGAAAAACATTAGGAAGCCAGAAAACAAGTGTTATAGATTTTGTCACCATGATCAGAATGAATCCAAACAAGAATAAAACCATGCTATCCAAAAGGAGAGAAAAAAGGAACTGACTAGAAAGAACTGGAAAAAATAGGAATAAATACTGATCACTTATCTAGAATTTGAGGTTAGCAGTGGCCAGTGACCTTGAAGTATAGCTGTGGTTATTGAGGTTGAAATTTTGGGCAATTTTTCAAAAGCTTTAAAATAGTACTTCTATAAATATGTATAATATTGTTTTCTGTGTGTGTTTATATACTTATACTGAAGTGTCTTCCTTTTAAAATTTGAGGTTATGATGACAGAGAAAACGATCTCTTCCTCTGTGATACCAACACCTGTAAATTTGATGGAGAGTGTTTAAGAATTGGAGACACCGTGACTTGCGTCTGTCAGTTCAAGGTAAGAAGTCTGGTATGTGCCTGTTCTGATTCATTACTCTGACTACAAGGCAGGGATCTCCTGTTGCAACCCATCATTTGGCAATTTAAAGCTACACAAACTACAAGCTCAGAGGAATGCTGGCACCAAGGAAAAATACTGGCAAGAGAGCTAAGTGATGTCTAGAAGACATCTACTTCTAGGAGAAATGCATGTGCCATGATAGGACATGCCACTGGAGGTAGAAAACTTCAGGTTGTATTTCTGAGATATCAAAAGGAAATTGTTTCCATGCCTCTTCTAGCATGTATTTTATAAGTCAATTGATTTCAAAATCGTCAGAAGCCAGGAAGTGTAGATTTTTCACTTTGCTTTTTTTTTTCCCCCTGTTTGGAACTATTGTTTATTCAACTTATTATGCTTGGTTTTAATGACCTTGAGAGTTATTGTTGTGGAAATCTTGTTAAATTTGGAAATTAACTCCTTATTAATGTGCCCCGAAACTACTGTGCTAGCCTAGAATTCATGGACTATAATTAATATGTTAATTTCTGCATTGGTTCAACAGTCAATTAAAATGAATTTCCCAGGGAGCCAAAACAATACATATAATCACATCAAATCACAAATGTGATACATATGCATTTTATTGGACGAATATTTAAAAAAAACACCAAAATAGGATGCTACCCTTATATTAGAACTATTAACATTGATCAAATCAATCTTATTGTCATTGTTAGAATATAATAAATCATTTTCAAAATATAAATTATAAGACATTTATCCTCTAAATATGACTGTAATCTTGCATAAGATTGAATAGCATAGGTGTTATAGTTACTGACTTTAGTTACTCTGGATTCTTTTTCATTGACTTTTTTTTTCATGTACTAGCCATAAGATTCAACCACGACATGTGTACTGAAGAAAACGATGTATTTGAGTTCAGGGAAAACATTTTTCAAGGCTGTAGAGATTGCCAGAATATGAAGACATCTCTGTGTTGGAGGAACTAGGGCTCCTTAGACACGAAGATGGTGAAAGTGCATGTCGCACCCTTTGGACATGTGATCAGGAAGAACCTGGTCCTGGACAAGGAACCAGATGTGACAGAGCGGAGAGCATGAAAGAGGAAGGCAGATAGAGACTAGATTGACACAGAGCCACAACTGTACGCTCAAAATATGAACACTTGTGAGGATGGTACAGGACCGGGTAGTGTTTGCTCCTGCTTTGCATAAATAAGGTTGCTGTGAGCCAGAACGGATTCAGTGGCATCTAACAACAACAAACAAAAGCAAGAAAAAGCAAAGACTATAGAACAAAATCATATAACTTGTTCAAAGAACTGCTTTAATGTATCATAGTTAGAATTCTACATGAAATATAAATATTATTTTAAAATTGAATCCAATTTCCTCATGAGATAAGTAAGGGAATTCACATTTAGATATAGTTTAAATTACTTTTGCATATGCCAAAATTTTCTTATTTTCTTTCTTTTAAGTAAACAAAAGAAATAACTGATCTCTGTAAACTGCAACACCTCCTGGTGAGTGAGGATTGTAACCTTACAGCCCTCATTTAGACCAGGCTACACATGCACTCCTCGTGTGGGTGTGGTTAGGTTCTGAAGCTCAAGTTGTTCTGTGCGGAAGTCACGGTTATGTGCAAATGGAGGATGAGTCCATTAAATGACGAAATGGAGGAGGACGACATCATTACATAGCTTCCAAATCACATCATTACGTAACTGGCAAAGTGGCACATTATGTAACTGCCAACCACGAAGCACCATGACCTAGACAAGTTGATATATAACTTTAACCACCTCAGAGCGAGCATTATTCTCACTTAGCACCTTGTGTTTCATTACTGCCACGCATGCATCATTAATGTACAAAATATTTGAATTAATATATTTTTTACTGTTGTAAATGTGAAATGTTGGATGATGATACAGTTGATAAGTGGGGAGTAGGTGTGGCTGGAGGAAACCTTAATATTTAATAAGTACATGACACCAATTTCTGAGGTCTTCAGCTACATTAATAATATCATCATTTTATTTAAATGAGCTACGTAAGAAAGATGGAACATGACAAGTTTCCAACTCATATTCCCTTCAAAGGTTGTTAAGTAAAGGGCATAAATGTTGGCTAAATCAGGAATGAAAGATGCATAGGACTTCCTTTTTATTTTCTCTTCCGCTTTCGGCTTGTTCTCCTTTCAATCTGAAAGGAGATTTTATCTATCTCCTGCTCTTTCTCCTTATTTTGGCAGTAAACTCCTAAATAGTACAGCATGAGCCAGGAAGAACATCTTTCAAGTGGCAAGTCATCGCTGTATGACAACTTCGCTATAAGAAACAGAGGCTTTAATTGGATTCTAAATGTGGTTGTAGTGGTTCTATGTTAGGCTGCGATCTGCATGGTCAGCAGTTCAACACCACAAGCAGCCCCACAGAAGAAAGATTGGGCTTTCTACTCCCATAAATAGTTAAAATCTCAGAAACCCACAGTGGGGTTGCTATGTGCCAGCATTGACTTGGTAGCAAAAATAGGTGAAAGTTATTAAAATGAAATGGATAATGTTTATTATTAAAATAAGCTGTATTGGCTTTTAAATGCCTCAGAGGATTTTGGTAAATCTTATCAACAAAGCCACTCAACGTTTTTGTTTTGTTTTCTAATTACATTTGCCATTACTTTAACTGATTATGCAATGGATAGATTTAAGTGGATGGACTATGGGTGGAAGTGTGATTGAAAAACTAAGATGTCAGTGTGTCTTCTTAGTGCTTGTAGCATTTGAAATATACTATTAGACTACTACTGCTATTCGCTTGGCCTTCATAATAGCTGTCAGTCTGATGAAAAAAATAAGTATCTACCTCTGACTTTTGAAGGGGTAAAATAGGTAGAATTTTAAAGAAGAAACACATATTGTGCAGAAGACAATGATATTTTAGGTAAGAGTAGTTTTACTCAGTTATTTTCCAATATCCACCACACAATGAGAAGTATTGGTTTTGTTGCTTGGGTTTTTTTTTTCTTCTCTTTTCTTTTTCCTGGTATCCAATTAAGGAGTGAAGTCTTAAAAATATATTTTTCTATATATTATACAAAACTATTTCTACTTTGTTAATATCCTATTTCTTTCTCTGAATTTTCAGCTAAGACCACAGATTGTTCTAATTGACATAGGATATGAACTCTAATCTTTCTGTCTGAGAGACAAATATCAAAAAGAAATAGATTTATATGCGCATAAACCATGTTTCCATCTTGGAATTTATTGGAGCACAAAAATGGACATACAAGTATATTATCCTTCACCTCACTTTTACAACTTAAAGTAAACTAATGTTCAACTCTTAATTTGCTCTATCTTATTTCTCTTAACTACCTGAGATAATTATTTTCTCCCCTATAAAGCTGAGGAAATTGAGACACCCCAAAATAATTCAGTTATCAGTAAGTAGTGATCCTTGAGTAAGAATCTATATTCTTTGGAATCTTTTTTTTTTCACTTTAAGAGAATATGCATGTAAATTACAACAATGTCACAACAAATGTATGAATTGATTATAGATAAGTTAATAGTAAGAGCAATACAACAAGCTCTTATGTGATGATATGAGGTCTACTTTACATTTCTTATCTGGATGCCAAATGGTATGCTATTCATTCTGGCAAGAGAAATTAATTGTGAAGCTGAAAATTTATAAACTGTATAGATTGATGGATGGATGGATGGTCTAGTGGATGGATGAACAAATGGCCAAGTGGATGGGAGGGAGGGAGATGGGGGAGAAAGAGAAAAAACGGTGATGCAAATTTTTTGATTGTTTATAGATGCACTAGTTGTACATGCAATGATCACTTTATACTTTAATGCTTTGACAAGGCCTATATATTTTCAGTTATCATTAAATTCAGGAGTAGGGACCCTTTTTTTTCTGCCAAGTACCATTTGGGTTTTTTAACAGCATTGAGGGCTATACTGATCAAACATCTAATTCACTCATCATGAAGGTGATAGCCAGAGCCGCTGTTTGGGGAGGCATGTGATATGGGCTGGTATTGATCGTTCAGTGGGCCTTATTTAGCCTGTGGGCTGGACGTTCCCCAACTCTGGTTAGATATTACACATTTTTGTTTCATAATCTAGACTTTGATTCTTCGAGTGTTCCAATTATTACAGCTGTATGATGAATTACCCAGGTCATAGTGGCTTTTAACAGTTAACTTTTATTTTGTTCATGTTCTGCCATTTGATCAGGGCTTCAAGCAGACAGACAGCTCACCCTTGCCTCACTCAGCATTAGCTGACGTTGAGAAGGGGTAAGGGATACAGGCTTGATGTACAACTCATTTGAAAGCTGTAACATTTTCTCTCTTTGGGCCTCTCACATGTGCTACTTAAGGCTTCTGCATAACACAGGAGCCGGCTTCCAATAGTGCACGTCAGAACTAGTACACCAGCAGTAGCTGGGTCTTTAATCACCTGGCCTTGTCAATCACATAGTCACTTCTGCCCTAATTATAGTTTAGCATCATAATGTTTTCATATTTAAGGAAATATTGCTGCAGAGAAACAAAACTTATAGAGTGTGCAAAACATCAGGACATATACAGGTATTTTATCTGAAAAAAAGTTTTTGGAAGAGAAGTATGCCATGTCCAATTCATTCTTTCTAGGTCTTAGACAACTGGGAATGTAACAGAATTCACTTAGCATCTGTTGAGCACCTTCTGCATGCCAGACTTTGGGAAAGGTGACGGCAATATATGAAATATAACTTTTGCACAGTTTTTCATTGGTGAAACCTCAGCTAAAAAAATCTTTATTAACCAAACAAGCAATGAATCATACGAAAAGCCTCTTCATTTCACATACGTTTTTGTTTGCTTGTTGCAAAATGAACTCCATCTATTCTGGTGTGTCAAGTTCCACTAAATTCACTGGTGTGGTGTGGAGCTGCTTTTCCTAAAGCAGTGTAGAAATTTTGGAATAAAATCATTCTACAGAAAAGACAGATTTTTAAAACGTCTTGAGAAAAGTAGGTTCTCTTTTTCACTCGGGAGGAAGTTTGTACAACACATACATTTATGGACCTAGCCATCTGGACTTGAATCTTGTTTTTTCTCTTACCAGCCAGCTACATGACCTTTACCAAGTAACTTACCATCCGAGGCTCTCCCTTCATATGAAGCTGAGCAGTATTATGATAAACATTAATTTTAATAATTTGGCACATTTTCACATAGTTGCCTATTTTATTATGTTCAGGGATATCCTAGTTTATATCATTTTTCCACTTTTGGAAATGTCAGCTTTGGGTATCAATGTTAAATGTGATTCTGCTAGTTAGAACATGTGTCAGGAAAAGCAAATCATATAATTAAAAAAAAAAGAGTATTTCAGAGTGTTCTAAAAACAAGACTCTGTTAATTTCCCCCAATGCTTCAGTTAGATGTTTCAAATGGGGAAACTGAGCAGCAACCATATTGAAATAGTTCATTGTTGAGTAATATATACAAGATCCTCCACCAAGCAGTGGGGGAAATGGAGGCGCCTAGGACCAAAGCCTCCCTCCTGAGCGTTAATGATTCAGCACTTGCTTTCTCCTTGTGTTAATCATATTAATGGATGCAAGTCATGGTGCTAAGGGCCAAAAACATTATGCTGATAATCTACAGTAAAGCTCTCTTCAGCTCCATACAAATCTCACTTTTGGCTTGTGCCTGCAACTTGGCAGCTCTGTTTTTTGTGCTGTTCACATTTGGCTTCCTGCATTTTTCAGAAGTGGCACACGAGAACTTTATCTGGTTATTTGATATTTTAAGATGCATGTGAGCATTATGTATTAGGTTGACAGTGAAAATAAATATGTCCCATCCACCCCACTCACTGCCCACTGACTACACAAGTGAATGAGCATAAATAGAAAGTTCTAGAAAAAAACACATAAATTCAAATAATCTCCATATGAAATACTGTAAGTAGACTTGGAGATGGAATTTAAAAGGCCCAAGAATGCTAGCCCTCTGAGCAAGAGTAATTCAGTAATCTGTCCACAAAAATTATGCCTTGCTATTGCCTGATGGCTCTGGGGATTAATCCATGGGCAGCTAGCTGCCAGGTTCAAAATCAACAGCTGTTCTGGGAGAGATATATGATATTGTCTGCTCCCCCAAATTTTATAGTCTTGCAAACCCAATGTACAGTCACTCTGATTCAGAATCAGGCAGTGGGTGTTTTTCCTGCCTCCTGAGTGGGTCAGCATGTCTATGGAATATCATGTTAGCAGCCTCCCTTTCCTTGCCTTCCGGTCTCTCTTCTTTGGACTTAGATATTATTGTCGTCTTAGTGAATCACCGTAAGTCCTACCTATGTGCCTTCCCTGTGTCCTGATCACTACACACTCATCAAACAGATCCTGCCCATCCACTTGTTGCTCACTTGAGCAACGATTGGGTTTATTTGGTATCTACTTGGGATTGTTGATGGGAAATTGACTCGTCCCTGACCTTTGCTCTGGCGTCTTTCTTTAGCAGCAGTCGTGATGCCCAGCTTTCAAGTGGGTGGTTTTCGGGTATAAGTTAAGAAAATATCTGGAAAGCTTGTGGAAGGCAGAGCCTTCATGCAGATAACACTTGCTTGAAAGTGAATTTCCTATTGGATTAAAGATTCTGCTTAACCAAAAGCTCTATCCAAATCAGTTTTTAAATGTAATTAATCACAGGTACAGACAGAGTCTGGGAACCAATAGTGTAGTTGTAGAAAAGAAGTATTTTTATCAAAGGCTTACACAATGTCTCAATTGTAACTTATATAATAAAAGATAAATTCTGTGTGTTTGGCCTTCTAGGGCCGTCTGTCGTGTTTTTAATATTCTTCACCACCACCATAGTTCAGAGGCATTGATTTTTCTTTGATCTTCTTATTCAGTATCCAACTTTCACATGCAAAGGAGGTAATTGAAAATACCATGACTTGGGTCAGGCACACTTTAGATCTCAAATTAACATCCTTGCTTTTGAATACGTTAAAGAGGTTTTGTGCAGCAGACCTGGTAGGTAACCCTGGGCATATCTTGGTATTCCTTACTTTGTAGATAGATGCCCAAAGGTATCTTCCCATGGTGAATGTTTCTCTCCCTGTCTTCCTTCTGAAAAGACTGTATGAAGAAGTGATTAGTTTTAAAGACATCTTTACTCCTGTGACATCATTAGCTTGACAGCATGAACATTCTTATTTCCAATTGGATCACTTTCTCAGGTACAGTGGTTAGGATTTCAACCTGCATTTGGGGGTTACAATTTAATCTATAACAAGGGTCATTGAGCCTTTGTAAGAAAGTTAAGCTTAAAAAATAAAGTGTAGGTTTTATCACTCAGACTAACATATTTTTAAGACTTTACTCTTTTTTTAAGATCAACTCTTTAATTGAAAGTTACTTATGATAGAATTTTAGGCTTATTATCATATATATTAAAACCTCCCTAGCCCTCTCATAGATAGATTTATTTTGCATGTGTTATGAAATTGCAGCACATCAAAACCCCAAATAGTGAAGTAAAATGTTGAAGTGTTTTCACATTCCTTAGTAAACTGAGGCATGGTCTCCGTAGTTTCTGGCAGAGGTGAGCATTTATAAATAATCATCTCAATCATTACATTTGTTCTAATTAAACAATGAAGCACATCAGTGGTAGTCATCGTGAGATAATCACATCCCTGGTGTAATTAGGAGGCATAGGCCACAGCCAAGTATCTCTAATGCCTTAGAGTGTGATTATATTATGATGACCATACCCTGTAGGTTGCCTAATTTCCATTATAAAGTGTAGGGGTTTTTTTGTAATTAGGTCGATTCAAAAATGAGTTTTTCTCACAATATATAATACGTATACTTTGCAATAGTCAAGAAAGTTTGCATCAAGTTCAGTAGTTTCTGAGCTGTGCGGGTTTATTTTTTCTCTACAATATGTAATGCCTTGTTCTCTGTAGACTTTTTCTACATTAGTGTTCAATTGTCTAAAAAATATAATGTCAGCTTTAACTCCTTGGAAATTTGTTAAGATTAAAATTCAAAGAGGAAATCAAAGCATGCTAAGAAGAATCTAAATGATTTGGCCTTTCTGCTGCAAACCTGTGTTCCACACATTGGGAGTCACCACCTCTTTTCCAATGGCTGGGATACTCTACCATATTTAGGTGTTCTCTGTCAAACCAGATGAGACCTATACCAGAAAAACATGGAACTGAATAACATTAATAGGTTTGTTGCTTTATGTTTTTCTTGTTGCTTTGTATTATTTTGTCCAATCACTTTGTTGGAATTCTCTGATCAATGTAGATGCTTTCTATTGCCCTTTAGAAACAAATGACCTGTTGGCTGGCTTGATATTGCTTTTGTGTGATGCCCTTACAAAGTCAGAGAATCACCAAAAATGAAGACATGTGATTTCTCTTAGGATAATTTCTGGTCAGATTGTACGAGGGAAACAGATCCAGTATTGACCATAGCCTTACGTCTGTCTTCTCCAGTGCAACAGTGACTACGTGCCTGTGTGTGGCTCCAGTGGAGAGAGCTTCCAGAATGAGTGTTACCTACGACAGGCTGCCTGCAAGCAGCAGAGCGAGATCCTTGTGGTCTCCGAGGGATCGTGTGCCACAGGTAGGTGTAACGTCCTGAAGACAGGTTGCAGCCTTCTGAATAGATTCTGGACAGTATGATCATTCATGTTTTGCTTTTCCTATTATCTTCAGATAAATAATTCAGACTGTATATTGACCAGAAAAAGCATGCACTGTACAATGCATGCGTTATTCTTTTTCTTTTCTTTTTGCATTAGAAATCACATATGGAAGAAAGAAGAAATCTGTCATAAGAATGTTAATAGGTTTTAATACATATGAGTGTGTTACCTAAGGCATTCCAGATCATTAAATAATATAACTAAAATATAGATTGATCATTCAGGTGTCAAGTATATAGTAACTTCACGTCTACACAGACAAAGATCATGTGTTTGTTTTGAACAATGGTGTTCTATTCTGGAGGCCAACTTTGCAGGTTTACAAGATCACCTTCACGGGCCTGCAAATGACTCTTCTTGCCATTTGGCAGATTGTATTGAAGAATGTATGGTGATGGATCTTGTTTCTAATGACATATGTCCTTTCTGACACAGTTAACTTGATATTCTCAAAAGCTTTTTTAATTATAGTGAATTAGGAATTCTATTAAAAACAAACAAACTGAGGAGGACCAGCGACTTGACCAGCTCCTCAGTTTCCTTCTGGGTAGCACAGTTCTTGCTAGAGGTGAACAATATTTTATGAAGAAATGATAGAAAGAAGAAATCCCAGCTTGATAAAGCAGAACTTTAAAATAAAACAGTTTCAGGTTAGGCTTGAAACATAGAAATCACATATTCTAAAGAAATTCGTTTGCCTTATGATAGTTGTTTCTAATAACGAATATTCATCTTTTGGCAAAGTAATGATTTCTGAGGAAGTGAATGATGTAAGCAGTTTCCAAAAAATGGTAATGTTGATGTAAAATATATTTTTGCTCAAAAACAAAAATAGGTAAGAATAGTGCCAGGAAGAAAAAACCTTTCTATTCTTTAGGAAAGACGCTCTTCGTACCAGGTATTTCTGTATGATAGTTAAAGTTTTGTGTATGATGGCTCAGCAGGCAGGAAATGAGAAGTAATGAATAATAGTGACAACAAAATACAGAGGGTTTTTGGACAGTTTTCCCCAGTAGGGAAGGAAGAGTTCCAATTTGCTCCTCTCAGTAAAGATGAGGAAAATTAAAAAAAAAAATGATGGAAGCTAATTATGACAAACAATTTGCCATTATCTAAAGAACAAAAAACTTTAAGTTATAATTTAGGAAAAAGAGAATAGAAAAAAAATAAAAGAAATCCCTGACTCTTATAAATAAGAAGGATATAGGCAAATGCTAGAGTATTGAGAGAAGAATATGTGTATTTGAGATTTTGTAGAACTTCTGTCCATCTTTGACAGTAGTCTAATTAAGCTAGGTAAACAATGATAGTGATGAACTTTCCTAAAGTTATGGTTCAGGGTTAATGAAGGTTGGTAACAAAAATTTATTTCTTTATTTACCAACTTCCAAATTCTTGTTAGCATATATGATTCTGTTGTCCTAACTCATTAAAGTATTTCCATGCTGTCTAATGTCCTGGTCATACTATGAAATGATTACTTAGCCACATAGAAAATGTAATCAACAATTGTGTAATTCATCCTTAGCTCCTTCCCATACTTAAATTTCTACAGATTTAATTAGGAAGCCTGTCTCGGTGCATACGTCTTCCATTGAATTGTAAATCTAAACGTTTGTTGATCTGAAGAATGATGGATGGGCCAAAGAAATTTTGATTAATCACCTCGGACTAAAGAAATTGAAATCTTCATTTTTTTAAAATCTAAAATCAGTTCTCAACAATTGTTTTTTTATCTAAAAAACAATTCTCAATTCTTAATATGTTTTCCATGTGTTTTTTAATGCTTTTTAAAACTGAGTGTAGATTGCAAGATGTCATCTCTAGTAAGAAATGGAAATAGATGATTTAAATTTGTATTTATTATATTGTATTAGTCAAAGTAAAGCATTGAGTGCTATTTATCTCTGGTTTGTCAAGATATCTCAGCGTATTCTAGTGAAACCATTAGAACTTCCCATCACTGACACATAACAATGGAATATATTTCATTGACCATTTTCCAAATGGTCTTAGAGTTAAATCAAACACAACTTACCTTAATGATCTTAGCTCTTGAATTTTTAGGTTTCCAAAGAAAATACAAGCCCAAACATTATTGCCATTTAATAGTGATTTCCCCTATTCATATATGTTTAAGAGACTATCTATAGATGAATAATCTAGATGTTTGCTTAACGTTTCCATAATTATGATCCTTGTCCATTGCTAAGCATTTGAAATATACTATTGTACAATCAACTTCAAAATAGCCCAATAAGATAGGTGTTAATATACTCATTTTACAATGTAGGTAACAAGTTTAAGGAAGTTGAATAAGACTGCTTATGTCATCCAACCAGTAGGATTTAGTGTGACCTTGGACTGCATAAGCTTTTTGCCATCCTTCTTTATGCAGTGTCATTACGTATAAGAAGCTAGGCAAGGCATGGTCCTCAACTTAAAAGGTTTATAGTCTTAGGCGTTTTACCTAGGTCTACAATTTTGTTTGGGATTTCTACATGGGATAAGTGTATTAGTTTTCTGGTATTAACATTGAAACTATACAAATAAATAGAGTTAAAATACAGAGATTTTTGAGACAGAAGGAAGATGATGCCTAAACTTAGCCCAAGTAAGATAGATTTCAGTTAGGTGTCAAGTTTGATTATTCTCCTAACCAACTCAATTATTCTGACCAGGAACAAGAAAACCGGCCATTTATTCTTAGAGATAGGCAAGCCTGGCCGGTTGTGAGTGTGTGGGAGGCAGGAGAGAGAAGCAGAGAAAGAGAAATCCAGAAGGGAGATTTGATGCTTTCTGTCAACATCACTCAGGAATATCTAATTTTAGCAAGAAGGCAAAAATTAGGCTCCTTATTCTACTGATTTCAAAAGTAACTGGTGAATTTGGTCTCTGCAGCAAGTTGATTAATGTACAATTATGGTATTTGGAGACTATATTAATAATTATAAAAATACCTTCATTTATAAATGGTTCTGTTTATACATAAGTAATTCACAAGGATATAAGCCTTAATTGTGAATTTGCTTGTCACATGTCTTAGGCTATTTAATTTCTGAAACTCGCTGATTAATTGTTATCAGCACCTCTTTCCTATATTTTTGGTAATTACATCAAATTCCGCCTGCTAAAATAAAATATCAGGGATTTTATATAATCAATAATTTTAGGTGTTGTTTTGATGAAAGATGAAGCTTTTTGGGGATAAAATTTAAGGAAGAAATAATGAGAGATTGGTCTTCTAGTTTTTATGGATAGGAATGCAATTAATGTGAATGTACATTCCAATGCTAATATTAGCAATTTCCCAAACAATTATCTGAAAGTTTTAAATGAAGAAAGTAAATTCGAACTAAAAAAACCAAACAACAAAAAAATATCAAACTGGTTTTAACATACGTTTCAAAGAAATCCTCTTTGCTTCCTCTTCAGATGCTGGCTCAGGATCTGGGGATGGAGGTAGGAGTTACCTTTTATATATTCAAAGAATTATGAGTCAATTTTTTTTGGTGTGAATATTTGCTTGCAGATTTTCTATTACAGATATCTGAGAAAATTTAACTTTTCTCATTTTATAGAAAACACAAGAATAACATTCTTATTTTGTATAGCATGCAAATGCTATTTTTATAGTATTCTTACTTTGTATAGCATTCTTATTAAATTGTATATCATTCAGATTCTTTATTACATTTATTAATCATTCTTGGGACATCTATCTACGATGACTTTTCCTTATTATTTCCTTTGTTTGTGTCTGTTTTTTGACATGGAATTGCATAACTACAAAACTTCCTAACCTATATTTCCAAACATCTTTGGAAGAATGCAAAAATGTAATGAGGAAATCATTTAGATATTGTTTTGAAAATATGTGATACTCCATCCTCAATTATAAGATACCAATATTCACACATGCATAATTATCACTTAGATAAGGTCATCATTATCAAACGCAGCACTTGAAACTGCAGTCATTTACTTTACCAAAATACTGAGATAAACAGATGTTAAGGTACAGTATATAAGATGCCATTTTTACTCCTTGATGATATTGGCCAATAGTTCTTTTTATTAAAATAGGACATAAGTTTCTATTATTTTTAGTTCTATTTTTGAAGGATGTTTTCGAGATAAGAGCTATAACCTTTTATGATTTGATCTGATATACTTACTGCTAAGTAGAGATTTTATTTATGGGTTGAGGCTTAATTGTAAATGTCCTAAGATGATTTTTCCAAAGGAAATCCCCACAAATGTTTGACTTTTATAGACTCAAAGCAAGACAACAGCACATAATTCCTACGAGAGTATTCGGAGTATACGCATGCTCATAAACAAGATCTTGCTTGAGTTGTGCTGAATATTTAAATGTATGATTCCAAGTTAAATTTGCTTTTAAATGAAGATTTTGATAGAAGATAAAGAGAATGCTGTTTTGGGGTAGGGCAGTCAGATCCCTAATGCAAACCTTATCTAGTTATCTTTCAGCACTGAAACATTTCTCAAGTTGCCTTAGATGATGAAAGTCTTAACTAACGAATAAGCAAGAACCCAAAGAACACAATTAGAGCAGCATCTTGGAATGCACATTTGGAATAAGACTAAAATTGAACAAGTGTTTATATTGAATATCATCAGATCAGGAAATATTTTCAATATTGAATGATGTTGAACAAACTTTAAACATGCTTTTAGTCAAAACTCAAACACATTGCCAGTGGCTCCTTTTTGACCCTTAGTAATACCATGGGGCCGGGGAGAACTGCCCGGGTGGCTTTCTAAGGCTGGGAATTCTCATGAGAGCAGAAAGACTCATCTTTCTCCTCCAGAACAGTTGGTGGTTTTGAACTGCTGACCTTGTGGTTCCCAGTCTCACTTATAACATATGATGCCACCGTGGCTTTGTGTGCTTTCCTTAGTTCTAAGGAATTGAATTAATGTTGTCATCTTTCTTTCTACCCTACTTCATATTCTAAAAAAAGCCCTTTTTTAGAACTTTTAAAATGAGAGCTTTAAATCTTAAGAAAAGTGAAACAAAATTCCCATGAGTAGATATTTTACCACTGGAATAATCAGAAAAGAATTATTCTTTAAATTTATTATTATTGTTTTTTTTTTTTGTATGAAATCCAGCATAGGTAAATCTATGGAGACAGTAACTGGATAGTAGTTTCTTACGGTTATGGCAGCCGGGCTGAGGAGGGATGGGAAAGAAGAAAATGTCCTAAAATAGGATGTGGTGAAGCTGGAACACCTCGTTAACTCTTTTTAATAGGTTTAAACTATTGAATTCTATGATATGTGACTTATATGTCAATAAAACAATTAAAAAGCAAGAAATGTGTTTTTTTTTAAAGAAAGAAAAATTCCTTAGAGTAGATCTTTTGCCACTGGAATAATTAGAAATCAATCATTAAAAATAATGTTTCAGAAGAAAGTAGCTACAAAGGTGCTTCAAAAAGCTGATGGAAAGTTCATATTAGGTTTTCATTTTATTTGTCCATGAACTTGTAGAAACTCCATTGTATATGCAACAGTCGGGTGTTTTTTCTTATACTGTGTAGATTGCCTAATCTGGCAGATAATGTGTTGAGTTCGTAGCTACCTGCACCTACGAGGGAGAAAGAGGCAGCTTTCTGCTCCCATGGAGAGTCACATCTCTCGGCAACCAGCCTGGACAGTTCTCCCCAGTTCTTGAGGGCGGCTATGAGTGGGAATGGATGGCGGCCGTGAGCTTGGATGTCGAGTCTGACCCTTTGTAACCGCCCCACCGACTTTCAGGAATTCTACCTCAGCAGCCTAAAAAGATATAGCCTGATACCTGATCCCTTGGACACCGCATGACCGCACAGGCTGGTGTGTTCTTCCATGTGGGCTTTGTTGCTTCTGAGCTAGATGGCTGCTTGTTTACCTTCAAGCCTTTAAGACCCCAGACGCTAT